CTTACTGCACGATTTTGCTGAGAGCTGTCTCCACCCTCTGTAGCCACATGTCGTTTTTCAGCCATGTGGCTCTGAGCAGGTCACTTAGCTTCTCAGGCCCATGTGTGAATTGGATATAAATACTGTCTGCTCCACACACCTCATAGGTTTGCTGCCTGGGTCAAAGAGATAGTTAAAAATATGAAAGAGCAGGGCTCTTAAGCCTGAATTTGGGGCAGACGGCTGAGGAGGGAGAATCGCTTGAGTCCAGGACTTCTAGACCAACCTGGGCAGCATAGCAAGATGAGAGAAAGGAAAAAAAGAAGAAAAGATGGAAGAAAGGAAGGAAGGAAGGTTGAAAATCCTATTTCAAGCCTTACATATTACAGAAGGCAACTCCCTGCCACCCCTTTTTATGAGTGCTGGGGATCAAAGCCAGGGCCTTGCACATGCTAGACAAGCTACGACTAACAAGGTCCTCTAGAATGAGGAACCACTTTGTAGGCTCACTACCTTCCCTCCCTCTCTAGATTCTCTGGGTCTTCTCACCACACCCCCTGGAACGGACTCCTCCTTCCTTGCACTTCTTTCTGGCCAGGATGAGCACGTGGTACAGGCCTCAATTCACATCCACAAAGAACCTTCAACGCTTCTTCCCTCCCAAGCTGAAACCTGCCAGACCTTTCTGTTTATTCTCAATCACTAGATGATTAGAGCATCCTCACATGTCCTTTCCAGGACAAGGCATTCTTTTAATCACAGTATCAATAAAATGTGCAATGGAAAATTTTTTTTCATCACACTTCAGGGCCCAGACTTGACCGTCAGGTTCCAGTCAAGTGGATCTAGCCTGAGTCTTAGGCAGGTTTCCTGTTTCCACTGAGGCCCAAAGGTTTCTTTTTGCTCCCTGCCCGCTCCCTGGCCATTTTGGGCAGCTCTGGTCACATGGTTCACATATCTATCAATTTGGTCCTTCCATTCGTCCAAGCCTACCCAGCTGTCAAAATATTATTGTACCTTTTTTTTTCTTGGTGGTACTGGGGTTTGAACTCAGGGCTTCACACTCACTGGGCAGGTGCTCAACCACTTGAGCCACGCCTGTAGCTCTGAATTGTAACTTTTTTCTAGTGGGTATGTCAGATTTTACTGAATGACTTGGGGGTAGGGGGGAAGCAATTCCAAAGTACTTTTAAAGAAAGAATTTTTAAAGTGTTTACTAAATATGACTTTATTTCACAGTCTGAGGAAAATATTCAAAATGAGATCTCATATAAAGCCTTGGGGAAAGGACAATGGCATTTGAGAAGTGTACACTTGGGACGGGGAAAATGGCAACCAGAGATAGTGACGTCTGCTAACACACACACACACACACACACACACACACACACACACACACACACCACACCACACCACACCACACACACACACACTCTTCAAACATCCACTTTGGCACACACAGTCAGTCACACATACTCAGAGCCACACTCAGGCATGGTGGTTCATGCTATAATCCCAGCTACTTAGGAAGTGAGATCAGGAGCATCACAGTTGGAGGTCAATCTGGGCAAACAGTTAGCAAGACCCCATCTCAACCAATAAACTGGTCGTGGTGGTACATGCCTGTCATCCCAGCTACACAGGAAGTGTAAATAGGAGGATCTCAATCCAGGCCAGCCCAGGCAGAAATGCAAGACTTAAAAAAATCATATGAAGCCAGACATGGGGCTACATGTCTATAATTCCAGCACTCAGGAGGCTGAGGCAGAGTTCAAGTTCAAGGCCAGCTTGGGCTTCATAGCTAGACATCATCCCCAAAACAAAACGTTTAGTTGTAATAGTCCAGGATCTGTAAATAAACCTGAAAAGGCATTAGAGAAGCTGTACTTGGACAAGACACCAGATATTATCATCTCCAATACAAATACCCATCCTACATCCAACTTTTGGGGAGGCCATTTCCAAGGGTTTGAGCAGCTGAGGACTGAGGATGAAGCTCAGTGGTAGACACTTGCTTACCATGCACAAGACCATGGGTTCTATCTCTAGCCCCACAAAGAACAATGAAGATGTGGGGAGCAGATACATCAAGTGACTGGCGTCTTTCTTTTAAGTGGGATGGTATTATCCCTGCTTTCCACTTCCTCTACCTTACTCCCTGGTGTCAAGTTCCAGAGACCCTGTCTACTGAAATAGACACGGGCACTGTGGTTCTGGATGCAGCTGGTGACCTTGGGGAGAAAGCACTTGCTAAGTAAAGATGAAACAAGTTACCAGGGTGGCAATGTGGTTTTGGTGTCGGCAACAGAGTTAAGCAAGTGCACGTGCATCATGGGTGTGTGGCTTTGGTCAGGCAGCTGCCTTTGCAATCTCTGAACTGGAACCAGAGATATTAGGAGTGCTGATAGGAAGGGAATTGCCTGCTTAGTGGCAAGGAGAAATAATAGTCCAAGCATGCCTCCATTCTGCGTTCTTCATGCTGGCATTTTGATTTAAAGAAAATATTGCTGCGGCCGTTAGCATACTCTGGAAGTGTGTGTGACTCTGTGCGGTTTGGTGTTTACAGATTTGGGGTTACAGAGGGGAGTTTCCAGAGCAACGGAAGTAGCTGCTTGTCAGTCAGGGTTCATTTTGAAAGTGAAAGCCTGAAAGCTTAGGGCCCACTCTGGATCTTGGCCTGGTCTCTGGGGGGTCCACAAAGGCCAGGAGGTGGCTTTGGCCAGGGAGACACTGGTTGAAGCCACTCCAACACAGACACAGTCACAGACATACAGACACACACACACACACACACACACACACACACACACACACACACACACAGAGTCACATTTTCCCAGGCTGCCAAATCAGAAAAAAGTAACAACTATTTCTTTTATACCAGGCACACAAGGATAGTATGATATTTCATCAAACAGTTAAAGAGTTCATAGTCTAATTGACATGTCAGAGCAAGAGAAGAGAACTATAACCCATGGTCATCTATGCTGGGAGCCAAAGGGGTGGTATGAACAGAGGGTTGGAATTCGAGAGGATCAGTGTGGGCTGGCTCCTGTTCACAGGAGGCTGGCTGGAAAAGGTGGATATAGGCAGCTGGTGTCCAGTTTCATGGCAGTACTGGGATTTGAACTCAGGGTTTCACTTATTTGGCAGACACTCTACCACTTAAGCCATGGCTCCAGCAAGGCCCACTTTGAGACAAGGGAACTTCACTAGATACAAGTGAGGGAGGATATTCCAGGTAGTGGAGGGCAAGTGGGAGATACGCTCAGGTTAGGACAAGTTCATCCATTTGGCTGGAATTTGGGACCTGTGTATGATCTGCAGTTGACAAATCTGGCTCAAATGCTAGTCCCTCTGTGCCAGAACAAAGGCTACCTGTGTCACACAGACCTGCTCTGCCACTTCCTGCTGGGTGACCTTGGGCCAGTACTCTAACCTCTCTGCAAACTGGAGATAGTAATGACACTTAGTTCCTAAGGTCATCAGAGGATTAACAGTTAGCATATATAAAACACCCAACACAAAGTCTGGCACTGTAACTGTTCAAAACATGGATTACAAATGCCTACACTGTCATGAAGGAATGCTCATGATATTTAGGGCTGGTCCCAAATATTTGAGAACCAAGGAGGAAATGCCTCTGACTCCTTTCGTCACTGGTTCCACTGCTGTGCCCCGTGGAGTGGGCTTGGCCTGAGCCCCCATGCCCCAATCCCCTGGTCTAGACCACTGAATTATCTCCTGGCTTCCTGCTTCTGCCTCTCCCAGAATCATCTTCCTAACAACCTTAATCATGGCTGTGTCCCTCCTTGGCTCAAGAGCCTTCTATGGTTCCCTGTTGCTCACGGACTGAACTTCACATGGCAGGGGACAGGAGGCAAGAACTATCATTTCTAGAGCAAAGGAAAGAACAGAGGAGGCTGATGGTGGAAGAGAAACAGAAAGGAAGGAAAGGGGAAGGAAGGGAGGAAGAAAGAAAGAGAAAGAAAGAATAGAAAAGAAAGAAAGAAGGAAGGAAAGAAAGAAAGAAAAAAAGAAAGAAAGAAAGAAAAAAGAAAGAATCCTCTTTATTTTAGAAGCCCCGAAGCTCTGAATTGGCAGAAATCAGCAGTCCTTCCTTCAGGAGAAGCAGAGATAAATCGCCAAGAGGGCAGGGCGCTGGCTGATTCACCTGTAACTGCTTCTTCATGCCAATCCAGGAAGGTTGATGCTGGGGAAAGGCAGCGGAGCAGCAGGGGGATACCCCTTCTCAGTTCCCTGGCTATTGCCTGGTCCCTGGTCTTGGGTTTCTCCACAGGAACCCCAGGCAGCACTGGTCGCTGAGCAGAGGGGCAAGGTCACCCAAAGGACGGAACAGAGGAGCCTGAGTCACATGGGACAGCCACTCTGCCTCCTTGAATGCTAGGAGCGCGACAAACGCGGCTTGGGGACAAAGTGCAGGAAGATTCCTGAAGAGATAAGAGGGAAGGGCAAGGAAAGGGGGTGGAGAGCGAGAGCCCTGGGGAGCAAAGATCGCGCTCCCTGAGGGAGGCTGCCGCTGGAAGCTCAGCTCAGTCTGCCTGGGAGGAGTCGCCCTAGAGCCTCTTCAGCCCCGAAGCTGTGGGGATGCTGAAGACGGGGCGGCAGGGACAGCACCAGCCCGCCCCCGCCCCCTCCTCTAGCTGCCCGCGCTGTGCGGGAGGCGGGGCTGTCCTGCTCACCTGGCCGTTCGGGGCGGGGCCGCCCGCGAGCCCTGGGAGCTGCAGTGGCGGTGGTCCCTGAGTTGCTGGATCGGGACTTGCTTGGGGACTCGGCTGGACCGCCCACCTCTCCACGCCCCCCAGCGCCCGCGCGGGGGCCCTCCCCTAGCTTGCTCCCTCCCTCCCTCCTCGCCTCCTCCGCTCCTTTGCTCCCTCCCTCCGAGCCCAATTGCTCAAGCCGCTTCCTTCCCCACCGCCAGCGCCAGTTCCTCTCCCGGTGGGGCCCTGGAAGGCCAACGAACGCGACACTGGAACCGCAGTGGCGGCAGCTGCAAGACCATGGCCCAGCAGCGAGCGGCCGCGAACCCGGTGCCCAAGGCCTTGCTCAAGCCAACCAGGCTGAGCCTGCGGAGCGCCCCGCAGCTCCGCCCCCCGAGAACGGAGCCCAGTAGCCTGGGCAGGTACTGGGGCCACGCCGCCACCGCTTCCCGGGAGTCCCCCCTCCACGGCTCGCTGATGCTCCCCGGAGCGGGCCCGGGGCGACGGCGGGGGGCGCTGCGGGAGCTGCTGGGGCTCCAGGGGGTGGCTCCCGCCGGGTGGCTGTCGGAGGAGATCCCGGAGGAGCAGTCTCCAGGCGTGCCCGGCGGGGCGAGCAGACCCGGTGGAGCGAGCGGACCCGGTGGCAGCGGACTGTGCCTGGAGCCACGGGAGCACGCGTGGATTCTGGCAGCCGCCGAGGGCCGTTTTGACGTGTTGCAGGAGCTGCTGGAAGTTGAGCCCGGGCTGCTGCTGCGGGGCGACCCGATCACAGGCTACACCGTGCTGCACTGGCTGGCCAAGCACGGGCGCCACGAGGAGCTCATTCTGGTCCATGATTTTGCCCAGCGCCAGGGGCTGCCGCTCGACGTGAGCGTTCCTGGCAGCGGCGGCTTTACGCCGCTCCATCTGGCGGCCCTGCAGGGCCACGATATGGTCATCAAGGTGCTGGTGGGCGCCCTGGGCGCTGACCCCACGCGTCGCGACCACAGTGGCCATCGGGCCTGCCACTACCTGCGGCCCGATGCGCCCCGGAGTCTGCGGGAGCTGTCGGGGGCGGAGGATTGGGAGACAGCACGCGGCAGCGAGCGCAACAACGTCAACAACAACAGCAGTGGTGCCTCCGGGTGGATGCTGAGACGGACCCCTAGCTCAGCGGGCGCGACGACGGCCACGCGGACACACACCAGAGCGGCGGCCCCTTCGGCCAGAGAGAAGAAAGCCACGGGCAGTCTGGCGGCTCATACCCATGGCCTTTTGCGCCATCTGTTCCCCTTCTTCCAGGACCGTTGAGGGTGACTTGAACTAGAGAGCTCAGAGGGGCCGCGACACTGTAGTGAGGCCTCATTCTGGGGTTGTTTACCGGGTCCACCGAAAGGAGAGGCGCCCTTACACAGCTTGGGCCTGCATGGAGCAGACCACGTTGGAGCCGGCTCAGGTACCTGTTCCAAGTCTCCTGAAACCACCCATCAGAAGGACTCAGGGACTTAGCACACCACGCCCCCTCAACAGAGAGAGAGAGGCAAGGACCAAGCTAGCCTGGCAACAGAACTAAGGAGTTAGGAGCAGGGAGCATGGTCCTCCTTGGGCAAGTTAAGCTTCTAGCAGCCATTTGAGGTCAGGTGGAAGCGCTGGGTTTACTAGGAAGCATTCAGTAGAAGAGTAAGTTAAAACTAAATCATTGATGCAGAGAAAACGCCTAACTGCCCTTAACAAGTCTCCCTGTGCTGCTAGTCAGCCCCTGGCAACCTGCTCCTGAGATTACCCAGGCCTTACCAGTACCTGGTCTAATTAATGTATCACAGATGACTTCTTAAGTATATTAAAATGGGATTTGTTTTCCCTTTTACAAGACAAAGCTGTCCTCTGAGTGTCTTTTTTAAAATTAACCGCAGAGGGGGAAGCTACATATGTTTGCAGGGAAGAGGTCACTAATCCATGGCCACAAGCTAGTGAGCCAGGGCAGGCTCTGGGCCTCATTCCCAGAGCAAGTGGGCAGAACTGTACACCAGAAGGAACTACCTTCACCTTGCCGAAGTAGATACATAGTTCACTTATCTCCTAAACGCTTTGGCATCTAAGTGTGGCCTGCCACACAAGTCTCATTCTAGAGGAGCTGTCATGGAGGGGGTCCTAAAGATGGTGAAAAAGGAAGTGTCCAAATTTACATTTCTGATAGTTCATAATGAGTCATGTAATTTACTTGACTTGTGCCCTCCAAGGAGACAAACCCACTGGCACTTTCTTTCCAAGATTGAACTTTCCTCATCCACATTTTTAAAAGTTAGGTTCAATACACAAGTTGTAGCTTAGAAAATTGCTCCCATTCAGAAGTAGCACGAATTAAACAGAATACAGGAGAACTGACTCAGCCTGAAAGGAGGGAAAAGCAGTTGGTAGCTGGAGATCCACACTGCCTTAAAGAACAGTGCATTTTCAAAATAGCACTGCATTCCTGGAGGCTCTGTTAATCTTTGTAATGGGCTTGTTTCCCAACCCTCGAACACTGGGGAGAAACTCAGTCATTACAGAACAACCCAGAAATGCCACCCCGAGCCCACCCATCCAGGTTTCTGATTGCACCTAGTGGGCCTGTTTGCCTTCCTGTTGGAAACTTTCCTACCTCCCCTTAATATCCAAGCCCTTCCTCCTGCTGTTTTCAGCCTGCCACATGTCTCTAAGGAACTACACCTTATACGTATTTACAGTGTAATACTGCATTTCCTTTTTCTTCTAAATAAACTTTTCTTTAATGGTTGAAGGGGGAGGCTGAGCAATTCTCAGATTCTAGCATCTGATATTAGCCCCCTCCACCCCATGCCCATTTTCTAGAAGCACAATGACTAACTGATGCAGGACTGTGGTCTCTGCTCTACAGCCTTCCCCTTGACAGCTGCCAAAGTGGGTTGGGTTTTGTGAAGTCTGTCTGGCAGAGCTTTCCTGCCACATGGCTGCGTGTACATAGGCTCCTGGCTTACAGGGAAGATGGGTGTGTGCTGAACTTTCAAAGTGGTCCCCTTCATATAGGAAAAGCTAAGCATCTTAACTATTAACAGATTTGGGGGCCTGAAACATATCTTCCCTACCCCTCTGAAATGAAAACCAAATCAGCTGGAGGATTAAGAAAGGCTTTCAATAGTTTTTCCTGTAGTCAGCTATTCTTCCCCACAGATTTTTCTCACCATGCAATATTGCCTAGCCTACATCCTCCATGTAAAACTGAGGTTTGGCTGCAGGGGACAAACTCCCAGGCTGAAAACTGTTCATGCCTAACATCAAGCCATTGGCATTTCTGGTATGCTTTTCGAGGCAACACTGGTATGCTTACCCCAAGAGAAAGAGCAAATTCCCTGAGAAACATCTCTCCAGGGGAGGAAAGTTAAGCAGATGATGCAAAGTTGCATTCTAGTGGTGGACACAGGCAAGAAAAGGAGATGGTGAGAAGCAGGGCTGGGACAGGTAAGAATGGTGGTTGGGAGAGGGGTGCTGAGGGAGCACGGAGGGCAGGCCTGACTCAGGCCAGAGGTGGGGAAAGGCTTTCCTGGGAGGAAGGCCATGCCTGATCTGAGGTGAGTGGGAGCTGGCAGTGGATGTAGCAAGTGCCAGGAACTGTAAGTCAGCCGCTTGGGCAGGAAGGTGGGAGTTGGGGAGTGGTTAATGGCAAGGCTAGAAAAGCAGAGAGGGTGAGTCCAGATCACTGATGGGCTCACAGACCTTGCTAAAAGAAGAACAGATTTTAGCCAAAAGGTAGTTGGGAGTCATGAAGGGTTTCTAAGCACAGGAATAACAGGATGAGATTTTTGGAAAGTCACCCAGGTTACACAGAGCATGGATGTGACTGGAGGAGAAAACTGGGAGCAAAGCACTTCTGGAGCAGTGCTTCAAGAAAAGTCATACTTTAGGGAAGTTTGGGCATGGGGGTATAGGCCTGTAATCTTAGCACTCGGGAGGTTGAGGCAGGAGGATCTTGAATTTGATGCCAGCCTGGGCTACATAGTGAGACTCCTGATTAGTGACCTTGAAGTGCAGGCTTCTCTCAGTTGCTGTTTCTTCATCAGTAAAATGGGAGCAACACAGTCCCCCTTGCAGGGTTGCTCTGAGGATTCAACATCCTATATGTGTAACATGTACCACACTGAGTGACACATAGGGACCAGGAAATGATAGGCATTTGAAGCCACTGACAGAGGCTCAGTAGATTGTATTTCCTAGGTTAGTTCAGGAGGTATCTTGAAATGCATTATCCCCACTTTAAAAATGGTTTCACATTATTGAAGTTATTTTCTATCTGTGCCAGAGGAATGAATGACTGTTCCCCAAAGGGGAGTCTTGTGTCTCTGTACCTCTGCTGATGTCCTTCACAACCTATACTCTTCCTTCCTTCCTTCTTCCTTCCTTCTTTCCTCCCTCCCTCCCTCCTTCCCTCCCTTCCTCCTTCCCTCCCTTCTCCTTTCTTTTTTTATTGTTTATTCATTTATTCATATGTATATACATTGTTTGGGCCATCTCTCCCTTCTGCTCCCCTTCCCCTCCCCCTTTCTTTCTTTCATGCAATAAACATTGAATGACTCCTAAGGGTGTTACTTTGGGTGACAGACTCAAGCTTCCCCCAGCCTTCTGGCCCAACCTATGGCTTTTTCTCTTCTCTTCAAAGTCAAACCTCTCTAGAGGCAGGTCTCCCTTTCCTTACTTTCTCTATTTTCTTACCTTTCATTCACTTTACACCTCACTTTTCTGCATTCTGGCCTCTGCCTCCATTATCATCCCAGAGCAATTGCTCCAAGATGGCAATTGTCCTTAGACTGGCCAGGAGTGGTGGCTCACACCTATAATACTAGCTAGTTGGGAGGCTGAGATCAGAAAGATCAAGGTTTGAGGCCAGCCCAAGCAAATAGTTTGTGAGATCCCATCTCCAAAATAACCAGAGCAAAATGGACTGGAGGTGTGGCTCAAGCAGTAGAGTGCCTGCTATGCAAGCACGAAGCCCTGAGTTCAAACTCTGGTCTCACCAAAAAAAATGCATTAGACTGGGTAACTTATAAAGAGCAGAAATTTATTGCTCATGATTCTGAAGGCTGGGAAGTCCAAGATCAAAGCACCAATGCCTGTAGTCAATGTCTGGTGAAGGCCTATTCCTCATTCATGGTACCTTCTCTGCCTTCACATGTAGAAGAGATGGAAGGTGCAGCAACTCTCTGAAGCCTGTTTTATTTTATTTTTTGAGGGACTAGGGTTTGAACTCAGCCTCATATTTGTTAGGCAGGCACTCTACCACTTGAGCCACTCCACTGCCCCTGCCCCTTGAAGCCTGCTTTATAAGCACAAATAAAGCCCTCGTGACTTGCTCACTTCCCCAAAGACTGGGGGTTAGGCTGCAACATATGAATTTCAGAGGGATACATGTATTCAAACCTTAGTTCCTCCCATCTGCCAAATCTAAGTCTATCTTACTTCTTTGGCCACACTGGACAATACTGTTATTTCCTTGTCCTTGAAATGTTCTTCTCTAGTCTTCCATGACCTTCCATGACTTTATTTGCTGATACTCACCAGGATGAAGCTCCAGAAACATTTCCCTACACTTTACATTCTCTCCCAAATTCCTTTCATCCCTTTCCTACTCACTATCCCCCTCCACCCCACGCCCCCAGCCCATCACTCTGTTCCAGCCATAGTCCTTGCTGGTTCTTCAGAGAACTACATGCTATTACCTCTCCAGAAACACTGCTCTCTCTTCCTTGCTTGCCCCCTCACCTTGCCCACTCCCACTCTTCCTTCAGATGTTGTTAACTGTTACCGCTTTGGAGCAGCCTGCCTACCTACCTTCCTTCCTTCCTTCCTTCCTTCCTTCCTTCCTTCCTTCCTTCCTTCCTTCCTTCCTCCCTCCCTCCCTCCCTCCCCTCCTCCCTCCCTTCTCCCTTACTGGTAGGACCTCATGTTTGCAGAGCAGGTACTCTACTGGTTGAGCCAAACCTCGAGTTCATTTTGCTCTAACCAGAGATAGCATCTCTTGAACTATTTGCTTGGGCTGGCCTCCACCTGTGATCATCCCCATCTCAGCCTCCCAAGAAGCTAGGATTATAGACGTGAGCCACAGGTGGCCACCTGGAGCAGTCTTTCCTGCTGCTCAGGCTAGATTAGCTTCCCATGCATTATACTCATTTATAAGACCTGTGCATCTTCTTATGTCATTTATAATTGATAAGTTATTCATGCAGTTATTAGATTAATATCTCCCTGACCCCAGTAGACTCAAATGCCATGAGGACTAGGATCAAGTCTGCCTTGTTCACCCTGTAATCCCTAGATCCTGGTACATGAAAAGTGCTCAATAAGTAGTTATTAATTGCCAATGAAGTCAGATTTGAAACCAAAGCACAAGAAAGAGAAGGAGAAATAGATAAATTGAACATCATTCAAAAAAATTAAAATGTTTGATCCCAAGAGGAAACTATCAAGGAAACCAACTGATTGGCAGAAAATACTGCAAACATATATCTGATAAGGGTATATGTCTGATACTGATCATATATATAAAGAGCTCCTATATAACTCAACAACAAAAATATCAACAATCTGATTTTAAAATGGTGGTGCATGCCTGTGATCCCAGCACTTGGAGACAGAGGCAGAATTGATTGTGAGTTCGAGGCCAGCCTGGGATACATAGTGAGACCCTATCTCAAAAAAAAGCCCAAAATTAAATCAAGCAATCAATACATAAATACATAAATAAAAATGGGCAAAAGACTTGAATAGACATTTTTCCAAGGAAGATACAATGGACGAACAAGCCATATGAAAAAGTGCTCAACATCCTAGTCCATAGGGAAATGCAAATCAAAACCAG